AGTGCTACCTATTTGTCTACTTGCATTTGAACTGCTAGGTTGTCAGGAGGTGGAGCAAGGAGAGAAGCTCACCCTGTTGCGTGGTGCTCAGGTCTCAAACCTGGATTGCTGGCTTTCCAGCCAACAAACCCGGCATCTTAACTGCTAAGAAATCGCGCCGGCCCTGTGATACTGAATAATACGTCCAAAACAAACAAATTACACTTTATAGTAGTACACAGTATGAATAAGGCTCATACATTCAAAACTTGTATAAACAACCAAGCCTCTTAAATCAATGACAAAAAGTGAATTAATCACGTATCGCTTTTGTTAGTTGTAAGCATAAGATTTATTATAAAGGTATTTACTCAAGTCCACACGATACAGCTATGAATATCTGATACACAGCTAAGTTAGAACAAATAATTAGGGTTTGAAACTTAAAGTAGAATATAGAATTTTTCCTACTGTTAAATGTTATGGAGGGTGAAACTAATATGGATTTTTTTCCATGTCCTTCAGTTTCATAACAGCCATTTCAAAGCTCCATGAAATACAATCTCCTTTACATACAGTTTCTTAAGAAAACCCATGTGGAAATGTTAATAAAAAAGAATCCAGGAATCAGACTGAAATTAAGAAAGGTTTTTATAGGTAATCTGTTATAATTGTTCAGAATAGATAGATAGATAGATAGATAGATAGATAGATAGATAGATAGATAGATAGATAGATAGATAGATAGATAGATAGATAGATAGATAGATAGATAGATAGATAGATAATTCAACAGTGCAATTTTGAATCCAACAGGGGCTGTCTTTTCATCTGTCTTCTAAGTTTGTATAATAAAAAAAACATTGTGCAGATTAACTGATGGGCAACCGTAGCTGAGTTTTATGCAAACAAGAAATTTCATGGTTTGACCAACAAATAAAGGCTGTCCTGAGATGGCTTGAACTATAGTAGATATGAGAACAGTCTTTGCTTATAATTCTCTTAGTTGCTTTGTACAGGTGTTGTTTGATTTAATTTCTGTGTTTACTTGTAAGCTGTATTCCTTTTTCTTTTACTACAAAAAGAAAAATAAACCTGTTGGTGGTATTGGATAACAGGGTTGAATTTTGGCAAGAAACATGATGTGTCTCACAAAAGAAAGACTTGTACTTTGAACACAGCCTGAAGATGAACAAATATAATGAACAATCATTTTTTGATTGGAGTCCTGGCTGTGTAAGTATTATCTATTGAGGCTTGATAAAATAGGAGTTAATGGGTTTTGGTAATGCTGTTTAACTTGATTATTACTTTCTGGTCAGTTGCCAGAACTGGATCAAAACAAGATTTTAAAATTCCAGCTGAGTTACATTTGCTATTTCAGAGTGAATATGCTTAGGATCTTGTCAAGCTGAGGTCTATTTCATGAGCAGCAATAAAAAATCTTATTTATATATCTTGTCTGCCTACCATTTTAGGTATGCCTTTCTTATAATAGGTCCTTTTTTATAGTTTCAACTTTTTTGCTTTGTCCTAAAATCTCAATAGCCTTAAGAAGAAAATAATGAAAGCAGAATCTCTTACAACAAAAAATTATAGTACATTGTTGTCAGCGTGAGACAGGCCTTATTTGTGTCAACTACCGAATATGGAACTCTTTTGCTTGGGAAATTTTAAAGGACTTTAGGATACAGATTACATCCAGCATCTGGAATGTTAACTTATGGCTCACCATTGAGTACAACTCAAGTGATTATCACTGTCACCTTGTATATTTCTTCTGTAAAGACACTATTACTTAAGACTGAAAGGGGGGGGCTTTAATATTTAAATATATAATGCAAACATTTCCATTACTAAGGCAATAACCTTCTTGAGATGCTAGCATTCAATGTAGATGCCTTTATTGTACTTGTATTATGCTTTTAAGTTTAGTCACTTAAAAGGAATCCCTGTCTTTATTTCAGCCAAACTACGGTGTTTTAAACATTCCTCTCATATCTTCTGCTCTTAGAATGCTGATATATAACTTTCACTGACAACTGTTTTTAACTGACAGCTGTAATGAGAAAATTAAGGATTGCAGATTTATTATACTATTGATTGACCTGCTTTGGATCTGTCTGCCAAACCCATAGAATATTCTGCTTTATTATCTTGAGAGTTACCAAATTGATAAATGAAGACTTTGAGGGAATTTAATTTTTTTGTTTCCATACTGAACTAGTTCTACATACCAGTTTTAATAACACTGTGTGTGGTCTCCAAGCTCCAGCTGTTTATATATTTAAGACCAGCTGAGTCTTAGGAAGTAAATGATTACAGTAATTCCTTTCTTCAGCCCTAAGGGGTTAGTCACTGGAGGAAACAAACATTGCCCAAGATTGCAGGTAATGTTTCTGAAACATGTCAAATGTCTATGAAAAATTGTCCCCTTTTTTTTGCTCTAATTGCTGCTTTGAAAAGGCGGACAAGCTATAGAGGGTCCATGAAAATGGTTTGCTTTTTATGAAGCTAAAAAATCTTAGTTATCAGGTATGTCCACAGGATCAAAAGGGTCAAGATGGCAGCCACGTTGGTGTGATTGAAACAAACATTCATTAAAAACAGGACTTTAATCACATCACTGTGGGCGCCATCATGACTTTTTTTTTTAGTATACTCTATAGACACACCTGATAATCATAAAATGATGTCTTAATTCAGCTATTCTGGAGGAACTCCATCCCATCTCATCCCCTCAAAAAGATAATATAAATCCTAGATGATAAATCTTGCTTCATTTTGCAATTCTGGGTTTTTGCTTAATTCTAATTTGAGTTTTACTTTTGACACCTTTTTATATAGATTAGTTTTGCAGTTTTGCCAATTAGGCTAGTGACCCCCAACTTTTGGGGCACCAGGAACCAGTTCCGTAGAGAAAGGTTTTTCCGCGGACTAGAGGGGGCGTGGTTGTATGTGTTGCCTGCATCCTGCAAATTGGGCTTCGCTTAAATGCGCGGCCCCATTGCTGGCATGTTGCGGACCGGTGCCGGTCCACGAACCAGGGGTTGGGGACCCCTCAACTAGGCTATTCTACTTTCTCCAGTTTCTTTATGATTGTTAGTAATTATTATGATTTATAAAATTATAAAATTTTATAAAATACTTCATACAATAAAGCATCTGTTGCACAATTGAATGGACATACGGTAAAAGGAAAATGAAAGGAAAAGGGGGAAAGAAGGTATACAAGTTTGGCTATCAGTTTAACATAGTTAAAGCCTATGTTTTACAATGTATTAATTAACTGCTAAGGAATTAGCCATGTAGCATTGTTCACAATGCTTTCATTTATCAACTTCTGAAAAAGTTTGAAATACACAAGGTAAGGAAACAGGTAAGGAAACAGGATGGGAGCCAGTTTTGGTGTAGTGAGTAAGCCACTGAGATAAAAAAATAGGAGTCTGTGAGTTCTAGTCCCACCTTAGGCATGGAGCCAATTGGGTGAAAGTGGCAGGGGCAAAGTACCTCAAAATCTTGCCAGAAAAGCTGCAGTGACTTGTCCAAGCAGTCACCAGCAGTTGACGATAGGTGGGTCTAATTTTGTCTACCCTGATATGTTTAATAGGAATGTGGTGGCTATGGGAGTGCAGTGGCTTGTACAGTTAGGACGATGGGCTGATGAACGTGTTCGAGAGCCATTGCTGCCACAACAGGGTAAGCTCCCGTCCTTCGCTCCAGCTCCTACCAACCCAGCAGTTCGAAAGCGGGCGACCCGAAGTAGATTAATGGGTACCACTTTGGTGGGCAACTTCATGGGGACACAAAAGGAGCCCCCAACTGGGTGTCCTCTAGGCAATGGTGGTGTCACTGCCAAATTCTTTTGCCATGGAAGCACTTCAGTGCTTCTGATCTGGAGGGAAAAAAATATGTTTAGTAACAGTGATTAGGAAAGGACCCATTGTTTTCCGTTGTGACTTCCATTCCTCAGGAGTCAGCAATAGGTTCTGAATAATAATGCCAGTTTCATATGCTCAAGTCACTATGATACAACTATGAATCTACATATAAACATAGCCTACTTTGCATTTCCTTTTGTGAAGCTTGTAGGTCCCTGTTGTGTTCTTACCACATTCTAGAATTTCAGCTACAGGCAAATTACAAATATTCTGAATCCACCTTCACTCCTGTGGGTTGGAATCCACATTCACAAGGTCATACCTGGGTTGAGTACCCAGACAACAAAGCAAAGCCTTTTGTTTATGGAGCTAGCTATGTGTGGCAGACCAGACAGGAAAAGCTGAGACTTTTCTTCAGTCTATATTTTAAGATGGAAAATCCTGGAAAATCTCAAGCCAATAACTAGTAAAAGGGAATCAGAAAGAAAAGCATCCTGATTCGCAGAACTGTTATTTACGTAGACAATATGTAGCTAAATGATTAATTAGCATTATGTCAAAATTATTCTTTATTTTCTGTCTATTTCTTGTCTGTGATTATTATTGTCTGTACACAACTTCTGGCCTTTTATATTTGATATACATTCACTATGCCCTGAAGTGTAGTCTTTGCCTCAGAGTTGTGTCTGAGCCTCTTTGCCTCGGAGTTGTGTCTGTAATTTTGTGATCTGCCCAGAAACTTATATTTTTTAATATTTTTCTATGGTAAAACATTGGCTGTTTTACCAACATAGTCTTTCTGTTCTCCCTGATTATTACTATTTTTAGTATCTAAAATTATAATGAAAGTTTTACGGCAGCAACTACCAACATTTCTTCAATAACCCGTTTTCTTGAAAAAGAACAGGCACTTCACAGCTAGATTATTATCAGAATACAGCAGGTCTCCAATTCTGATACTGTCCATAGTCTTTATTCAAAATTGAAGACAAGGTTATTTTTATATGAACATATTATTAATGTGCTTTACATCTTTTTCTTTTAACAGATTGATGCAACGAGAGCTGTCTGTATCCTTTCAGCCTGAGCAGATCTTAGAAAGAATTTGTAATTGACACTGCACGAAGTTGCCTGGCATTTGTACTGTGTCACATTTCCATGGGGACTGTACAAGATCCACTGAGATCTACTAAGCTTTCATTAGTTACAACTGAAGAATCTCCTAAACACCAGTGCAAGCAAGCAAGCATAGAAAGCAACAGTAATGGATATCCTTTTACTACCAAGGACCAGCCTTTTGAAGGATGCTTGTTTGAGGTGAATTCTGACAGAGACACCAGTGTTCCAAAGAGTGAGTGGCATTGTGAATATGACACCAAGCATCCAAACATGCTTTCTCCTGGGTCCTTCAGTTCTTCCAAAGAAGGCAACATGGCGGCTCCAGAACCAGTAAGTTATGCTAAGCAGGAAGGCTCCAGAGCCAAGATCCAAGCCCCAGCACCTGAAGACCACACTTCAGGGCATAGTGAAGTTAAAGTGTCTCTTATTCAGGAAGGTAACAGAAATATTCCAAGTGGTAATGGACAATCATATAATACAACTGATAAAGCAACCACACTGCCTGGAGGAGACCTTGATGGTGTGGAGAGCAAATCCAATGATTATTCTATTCCTCCTTCCCCTCCTAAATATTCTGATAGCCAGCAAGCAGCTCCTGCAGGGAAGGGACACATGTGTGAAATTATTGTCTCTGAAAACAATCAAGTCTTGGTTTCAAAAGATGAGTTGGATCTCAATCTGAAAGCCCCTGCTTGTGTGGAAACAGAATTGGGGAGTACAAGGATAGGACTTTTTTGTCCTAAGACGGAGCCACAGACTACATCTGAATGCAACCTTAAGAGCACTCCAGAGACATCATGTAGTGATGAGCCTGCAGAAAAGGTGGTTCCAAACTTGCCCAAATTCAAAGACACGGGTACAATGACAGCAAAGCCTGAGAACAGAGCTGTAGATGCAGAGACAATAAGCAGGACTCATCAAGATGCTGAGGTTCAAGCTGTAGCTAGTATGGAAAGCAAGTCATCTTCTACTAGCCCAAGTATCTTGACTGCGTTCTTAAGAGAGAACATGTCTCCTGAAGCAAAACAGGACCAAGATCAGTTGCACATTATTTATATGGGAGCTAGAGGGAAAGAGCAATCTGAAATAATTGGTGACTTTGCAGCAACTGTCCAAACACCTTCGTCTATTGGCATCGTGCACAAGGCACATGTTCAAATACCAGCTACAATAGAAAGGCCTCTGGGAAGTCCTACTGTCAGACTTCAGAAGAATCTCACAAACGTGTGTGACCCAATCTGCTCAGCTTCGCTGGATAAGGCAGAAGAGATGTGTTCAGTGGCACCTGAGAATTCTCAAGAAACTTTGGCCAAGAGGACAGAAGTGCAAATGACAGACATGGCTAAAAATTGTGGCAATGTTCCACAGCAATTGCCAGACAGTTCAGTTTTGCAGAAAACAAGACCCATTTCCCAAATTAGTGTCAGTCCTAGTAATGAGCCCGTGTCTATCCAGCACCCTGCGAACTTTGAAACTAAACTACCTCCATGTTCTTCAATCCCAGCCATTGACAGTAAATACCAACACTCTGATTCTTCTTTGTGTCACAGAACATCTGAACAAGCCAAGGCTATAGTTACCAGTATGAATACTGAGAGGACTCATCAGGAGAAACAGCTGCAGATCAAGACTGTTGATAACCTTGAGACAACTCTGCCTAGTTTCCCCATTGCTGTAAATTCAAAGAGAGAACGAAAGGGTCATATCATATCTGAAGAACAAAAGATGAATACGACAGGATCTGTTACTGGTTCTCAAACAATGAGTGCTCCAGTTGTAGCAGAAAACAAGCAGGATATGGTTCCTGGGGATACCAGGGCTGAAACTTTAGTCAGTCACAATCCAGCTTCTAAGCTGAGTAGAAGTTTTGCCACCACTATAGGAATCCAGAATGATGAAATCCAGAAGGGTCCAGTGCTTGATGTACCAGCTCCTCGAACATCTTCAAGTCCTATACCACGTTTTGGTGAAAAGAAGAAAGGATTCAAGGCTATCGCTGCTGAGGCGAAAGTGCATCTGAAGCAATCCAAACGTATCAGGGATGTCGTGTGGGATGAACAGGGCATGACCTGGGAGGTTTATGGAGCATCTCTAGATCCAGAATCTTTGGGAATTGCTATCCAGAACCACTTGCAGAGGCAGATCAGAGAGCACGAAAAACTCATTAAGTCTCAAAGCTCCCTAACCCGTAAATCAATTTCTTCAGATACGTCTTCAAATAAAAAACTGAAAGGGAGGCATCACAATGTTTTTCATTCCATGCTACAGAATTTTCGACGCCCAAATTGCTGCGTTCGTCCTGCTGCTTCTTCTGTGTTGGACTGAAAAGGAAAAAAAAAGTCAGAAATGAAGATGGGAAAGCAACACATCCATTTGTGCACATTTGTGTACTTGTACAAGGAACTCTATGGATGTTTGAGTTTCTAATACACTGATACAGGGTTGAGGGGAGAGGAAATTATGACAGTATATTTTATTCCCACTACTTAACATGCCTTCATCTGTCTAATTTCTACAAATAACACATGAAACATTCATGTTCATGCTGAAACCTCCCAGTCAGTTGCCAAATAAAATATGAGTACCTCGTGAAGCACAATTCAGAACTGTCAGGTTACAGTAGCTTTAGATAAAAAGAGAGGGGCGATGAAACCTTAAATAGATTGTTTTGTTTTTTTCATGAGATAATGTAGAAAAAGATTCCCAAACTGAGGAGTGGAAAGAAGGAAAGCTGGGTTGGGTTCAAGTAGAAGGGTTAGAAGGAATGGTGCTTTCTTAACTGTATAAACCCTTCAAAGTTGAGACTCATCTACAGATTAGATACAGGACCTGGTGCCCAAACCCTTTCAGCTGAGTTTTACTGTAGGCCAGAATTCCCCAACATTTCTGGCTTTGCGGACTGGCAGGGGTGAGAGGGAATGGTTCTGCATGAGTGGCCGGCAAGCGCGCACACGCAGCTCCATTTGTGAGAGTGGTGTACACTCGTGCCTGCCGCTCACTTAAATGGAGTGCTCCCACTCACCCACTGCTCACGCAAGTGAGGATGCCTGTGCGTGGGCACACGTTCACCAGCCATTTCCACGGCCTGGTTGCAAACCAGAGGTCCACAGGTTGGGCACCCCTGCTGTAAGCCCATTGGCAGCCACTGTCAGCCTTGCCCCACTGAAGGTGGTTAATCTCAAATGGAAAGTGCATAAGTCTCCAATCATCCTTCAAAACCAGATTTGAGACTTCCGTGTATTCATTTATATGCTGATTTTAATTGTGGAAACCTTTTGGGAAAAGTATACATTTGAGGTTTGATGGCTAATAACACCACATTTTTTTGGATTGGTACCATAAAATTATGTATCAATGGAAAGATAATTTAATCAAGAATGTAATGCAATAACTTTTATGAAGGGTTTGCTATTAGAATAGCAGTTATAAAAAAGAAAAGTGAAACACGTAGAAAAAACGAGATATACAAAAATTATCACCATGTCAGTTAATACTTAGTTAGGTAACCTTTAGCATGAATTACGGCCTTACAATGTCTTCCCATGGAGTGAACCAAGTCCTTTAGTTCTGCATCTGTTATAATGTGAAACCAAGATTGAATGATCGCTTCTATTAACTGGGTTTTATTGCTGGGTCGCTTCTGACTAACATGTTTCTTTATTCGGCTCCATAGATTTTCAATCAGGTTAAGGTCTGGGCTATTCCTAGGCCATTCCAGCAGTGGAATATGATTATCTTGAAACCACTTTTTGCACACAGCAGCAATATGACATGGAGCTGAATCCTGCTGAAATATAAATGTTTCATTGTCTTGGAAAAGATCATGTGCGGAAGGCTTCAGTTTGGGCTCAAGTTTTTCATTAATGTATTTTTGGCCATTTAGTTTGAGTTTTAAGTTTTGAGTTTTATTGTATTTATATCCCGCCCTTCTCCTTGCGGACTCAGGGCGGCTAACAGCCTGATAAAACCAATACAAAAATACCAAAGTAACTATAGTTAAAAACATAATTAAAAGAAGATATTAATATTGGCCTATGTTAATTTAAAAATATTTTAAAACCCAGCTAAAAATTTCCCCTAGGCCAGTCCTGCTAGC